CAAGTCACCTCCTCCAACGCGCGCGCGCGAACGCCGCGGCCTCGCCCTCGGGCTGGGAAGGGGGGCCGTACCCGGCCTGCGCGACGGGGCTCGGGCTCCCCCACCCGCCCCGGTCGGGACCGCCCCGCCTGGCCGGTGACCCCAGCCGTCATTTCCTCCTCCCGCACGCGAGCCCGCCGAGCTCTCTTCCTGCCCGGCCTGCTGTTCGGCTGCGTCTCGCCCGCCTTGCATAACCCGTGCGTCTTCCCGGGAACGTGCCGATTCTTTTCCCTTTCACTCTTGTCCCTTTTCAAAGTGTCACGCCGGATCCGTTAGCTCAGCACACACATCTTAGGGTCCCCCTCCCGCCGCCTCCCCCCCCCCGTGCTGATCTTCTGTTACCCTTGGTTTTAAGCCTATGTAGAAACTGGAGTATTCCTTGGTTTTTGTTACGGTGGAGGGAAACCGCCCTTGTCGTTGCGGAACAATTTGTTGTACTTGGCAGCCTCTTTGTGCGGAGGAGGGAGTGGGCTGAGAGCCGCCCCTGCACGTGGAGATGGACAGATCAAAGCCAGCCGTACCCATTGTTGGTGCTGAGTGAGGGTCCAGTACGCCCCTGTGAATTCGGAGGCCGTCGGGGTTATTTCCTCTGCCGCACTTGTGGAGGCCCTGAACCGTGAAATTCCTTCAGCTAGAAGAGGGAGGTTTCAAGAGAGGAAAGCCTGCTTAAGAGCCCCAGTGTGTGTTTGAGACAGGCTCAGTAGGTAGGAAAGTGGGCGGAGGTTTGAGTTTAGGCGGGAAAGTCTAGTTAGTAAATGTAAGTCTTGCAAGGGTCTTGTTGTTGTTTTCTTTTAGCAGTTATTTTTACCTGGAGCTGCAGATAGAGATCTAGAAATAAATAATGCAGAAGAAAGACCACCTTGGGACTCCACTCCTCTCCACCCTGATCTCGCCCCACCTAGTTTTTTGTAATCAGCCAGGTGTCTCACACCAAGCCCCTCCCCATAGGCAATGTTTTGTTCTTATTCAGGTCTGCTTTATAACCACAGGATTTTACAACTTCTCAATCCACTGTGCCCAACCAAGATAACAATACTTGCAGAATTTCTGCTTATGTAAAATTTTGTCCAGCTTGCTCCTGGGCCAGCTCAACTAAGACAAAGGTATAAAGCTCCTACTTCTGAAAGTTCAGAACTCAGAATATGGAGCACTTAACTCTTCTGGGTCACCCAGCTTAATCAAGCATGGTTCCCTGTGTCTCACTGGAGTGCCACTCACATTTCCTGCGCATTTGGCTCCCTGACTGGGAAACCAGTGCACTGGCCCCGTGAGCCATGGGCCCAGAGTTGTTAAGCAGCCACCTGGAGCCATCTCCGGGAACGACGTGCTCCTTCCCTGATTCAGCAAGACCTCCATCAGAGGGACCCCTGAGCACTGTACTCCCCTTACCACACTGGACTTGGGGAAGTGGACCAGCCTTCTGACAGGACTCCAGAGTGAGGTAAGGCCCCAGGGCCCAGTCCCACTTGGGCCTGTGCCAGCATCAGACAGAAAGGGAGTTTGTTCACCTCCCACAGTCTCAGGCCATAGACTTCAGGGATTTTGAGTGGAGGGAATGCTTAAACTGAATGAATGTGTGAATGACCGTGAACTAGTTCCTGGCTTGTCAGGACTACTTCATGTGTTTGGATCCTGACTGGACCCCAAACCGTGTTTCCATGGTGACATTAAGCTCAAGGGTGACTCACCCCTTGAGATAGGATGATCAGGCCAGGCTTTGTTAAGGAACACTGGAGCATCTTAACCACAGTGCGCCTAAATTTCTGCAAGGATCACAGCCAGGCAGGCGCTTGTTTTTAAGAACAGGTTTCATGGACAATATGGCATGACATGCCTCAGGTCACATGAGCTACAGCATTGCTCCTGTATGCCACCCTCCCCCAACTCCTTATCATCTGCCAGGACACCCATCTGCCAGGACACTTCCCAACTTCTTAGCAACACTTTGGCAGTGGCCACCAGACCCCATATATTACATTGTGGTCTCCTTGTCCTTGTTCTACCTTACAACCATGAGATTTTACAACTTCTGAGCCTACCATGCCCAACCCAAGATAACTTGTGCTTTTGTAAAATTTCATCCAGCTTGCTCCTGGCCCAGCCTAACTAAAACAGTTATAAAGCCCCCACTTCCCCAAAGTTCAGGGCTCAGAATTTACAGTGCTTATCTCCTCTGGGTCAGCCAACTTAATAGATGTGGTTCTCCAGTTTGGGGGTGCCCCCTGCATTTCCCACTCCACCAGTAGATCTAAAATTGCTAACAGACATGCAGATTAAGATACATAGATATATTAAAAATAAAAACTTTTTTTTTTAAGAGATATTTTCCCCAAGATTGAAAAAAACTGACTCCTAACTTGTAGGATTAGTTCCACTAATAGCAGTTGACTTCTTTGAGAGGAAATACAGTGGTTCTTCCCTTATCCTGGAGGTTCCAGACACCTCCACCATAAGTGAAAATCAGCAAAATAGTATCATTATATTTATTTTAGTATTTATGTGTACTTTAAGGTTTTATAAACCCTTCCCACACTCTTACAAACTTTTCCCATACTTTAAATGTTCTTAGCCATTTTCTAAACTCATAAATCTATGTAATTTTTATGTATACTGAGTAGTACTGCAAAATCCTGCAATACAGAAAATAATCTGCAATAAATAATTTAGATAATAAGTGCTTGCCTGGCAAGCACAGGGTCCTGAGTTCAATCTCTGGTGGGGGGGGGAATAGATTAATTTTCTTTTATCTTTTTTTTTTTTTTAATAATGTATTTGGTACAGGGTCTCACTACACAGCTCGGATTCTACTGATCCTCCTGCTCAGCCTCTCCAGCGCTGGGATTACGGGTGTGTTCCACCACACCTGGTCTTGGTGATTGCTCAGTGCTCCCCAGGGCAGGACCAGTGGGGCATGTTGTGCCAGGGATTAAACCCTGGTTCCTATGCTCGTCTAAACAGACACTTTGTCCGCTGAGCTGTCTCGCCAGCCCTAGGTGAATATTTTTTGAAAACCTGTAAAACAGAGAAAGACGAACTACAAATAGTAAAGGTCTTGTTTGCTGAAGTCATGTGAACAGTGTGTTTGAGAAAATGTCTGTTCTTGCCACTACTGAAGTGCTTTGCATTTTCGGAAGGCTTTCTCTTTGAATTGTTTTCAAAATCCACTTAATCCTCACATTCATTGTAGTAATTGAGATAGTGTGGCTGAGTGTTCTTTTCTAAGGAGGATCTCTATCCAGTTTAGACTGACCTTGAACTCACTTGTGTACCCCAGGTTGGCCTGGAGCTTGCAATGGTCATCCTGCCTCAACCTCCTGAGTGTTGGAATTACAGGCCTGTGCCACCACTCCCGACTCATTGTAGTATATTTAAGTAGTCATATGTGGTCCCTTGAGAACTACCAAATAACTTGTTAAATTTCTTTGCAAAAGGCAGTCCTGTATATCTCTACAGCCTGCACTATTCTGCATAAGAATTTTGTTGCTTGCCATTTGAAGGGATGCTAACTAGCATTGTCTGTTACTTTGTCTGACAATGAGGCCTTTTACAATGATACTCATATGCTGAAGTTTTCCTGTGTTTTGTTTGTTTGTTTGTTTGTTTGTTTGTTTTAGGTACATGGTCTCACTATGCAGCTCAGACTCATAATGATCCTCCTGTCTCAGCTTCCCCAGTACTGGGATTACAGGTGTGCGGTACCACTCCCAGTTTCTGGGCCAGCACACCATGTAGTAATGGGATCAAACCCAGGTCCATGTGCTTGCCAGGCAGGCACTTAGACCGCTGAGCCTCTCCCCAGCTCTCTGTCATGGTCTTTATGCTCTCCTTCTGGAGTGCTTCTTCACTTCTTCCTCCATCATTACTGTTGGTTCTCGTCACCCACATTGCACCAGTTTATGAGGCACCATTGCCTAGTGCTGGCTTTGTTTATCTGCAGGTGTAGTAAGTTTGTCCTCCAAATTCCCACGAACTCTCTCTTAGGACCCTAGTGCAGGCTTTTATTACGTTACAAAACTTAGACTCTTTGGGGGCTGGGGAGATGGCTCAGTGGAATAAGAGCTTCCCTGCCAAGCGCAGGGGCCTGAGTTCAATCCCTGGTTCTGCAAAAAAAAAAAAATTAGACTCTTTGAAGTCAGAATCTTCACCAGTTTCCTTTTGGTTTTTTGGTTTGGTTTGGCTTTTGGAACAAAAATCTCAGTAAATAGTTCAGGCTATCTTGAACTCACTGTGTAGCCCAGGCTGGTAGAAACCTCATAGTTATCCTCCTGCCTCAGCCTTCCAAGTGCTGGAATTACAGGTGTGTACCACCACACCTGGCCATTATTTCTACAACATACATGGTGTATTGTAGTTGAGAGAAGAAGCAAATTAAGCTTAAAGGATGTTTCTAGTGTAGGGGTTGTTTGGTAGTGGTTGTCAGATGTGATCTGAGGGCTTCTCCTATGCCTATGGTTGAGTGTCAGAAAGTGCCTATGGTTTGTGTCTGGTTATCCCACCAAAACCTCATGCAGTCATGGGGTCAACTTCTAGAGGTTGGGATTAATTCATGATCCAGAGCTGGGATTATGGGTGTACTACTGGGATTATGGGTGTGAGTGCTACACCCGCCCTGGGGCGGATAGCCTGGGTGCCTGTAAGGAAGGGAGAGGGACGTGGTCTCTGCTGCCACTGCTCCTGCCTTTTTGCTCTTGCCCGCCACCATGAACTGCTACCCTCTGCCGTGCGCCACTGTACCTTGGAAGCCAGCTGAGTATGGACCTCCACAAACTGTAAGCTAAGTAAATATTTTTTCCTTTGTTTTGGGTGTTGGGTATCTTGTCCCAGCAGTGAGAGAAAAGTAACCAAGACAGGAAGCTCTAACTTTAGACTGTGTGTGTATCCACGTCCGGTGAGCTCCCAGGGCTTGGCTAAATTTCCACTTCTGCACTTTGAAATCACAGGGCAGAGACGCTATGGGAAGGTTTTCACATGAGCCAGAATAAACTTTTCGCTCTGAGAAAGAAAACATTAGGAACTCAGTGTCAGGAGCAAGGGCTAGACAGTAAATCCGGCTGACTTGGTTTTGTCATACTCCTGGGCAGAGGCCCTCCAGGAAAGACTGTCTGTTCTGCTTGCTGAAGTTCACCTTATAGGAACACACAGCCTCACCAAAGGTAGTGGCTCAGCCTTCCCTGTGAGCAGCCTCCCGCCGTGGTCCACGCTGAATCACTGCCTTTTAAATATGACAGCGTTGCTGCTATTTTTACCCTTCAAAGCATAGTGAATTTGTTCTTAAATTGGAACAGAATAAACTAGTTAAAAACTGCATGAAGTTATGTTTATTATGAACATTCCTATGTGTTCTTTGACTTATATTTTGTAATTGATTCTGATGTAAATTTCTGAAAATAAGGAAAGATACCACACAGGAAGGGAATACAAGGAAGTCCTGGAAACATTAGTGTATTGTCACCCACCTTATCTACCAGGTCTGAGCCCATGCAGCTTCCAACTGGGCCTCATAGTCAAAATGACCGTGAAAGGTAAATGTTTTGAATCGATTCATGGCATGCCAGCAGCACTCTTGACGACACTTAGTGCAGTGAGGTTGAAAGAATTTCACAGTAACCACTGCCTGCCCCCATGTAAGTCTGCCATTTCCGTCTTCCAGTGCTTGCCTTGTCAGGTACCTACCTATATCTCCACCTTGTATTTGATGTCATTTTTGATGCTTGTTAGTAAATGTTACATTTCATTTACACTTCTGACTAAATGCTTGGACACAAACCATGATATTTTGCTCTCTTTCTGTTGCACTTGGGAATCCTGGAAATGATCAGTTTATAAAGAGAGTGCACTTCCTTCGGCTCACAGCTCTAGAGAGCGCAGGCCATGATGGGGTCCCAGATCCCACTCCCTTGTGAGGGCGCCATGTGGTAACCAAAGACTTCCAAAGACTATGCATGGTGTCCACCTCTCAGAGTCCCTGCCACTTCCCAGTAGTGCCAGGCTGGGCCCTCCGGGGACTTTGCAGATCCTCACTGTGTGATCCTTCCTTTACAACACTCACTGAGATGCCATACAAGTGCCCGTGTGGGGCTTAGTTAGCTTCTGTCCTCTTACCATTTGAATTCTGTAATGCGTGAAAGTCTAGAGAACAAAGTAAGGGAAATGTATGTACATTTTTATATACCCTCCTGGCCCAGATCTGCAGGATGAATTGCCTTTGGTAATTGATGCAGTCTTAGCTTTTGAGTGAAGCCTTTATTCAGAGCATGCAGTTGCCATTACCACTTCAGTTTATCTGATTGTATGCTTGTCTTCAAAGGGGCCTTTCACATCTTATGGTGTATAAGAAGAATAAATTTGAACAGTGACTGGATGTTTGGTGATTTTTAAGGAATTAGTAATGATTTAATGTTTGAAAATGATACTGAGATAGATATCAGGTAAAATGATCTAAAGACAGATGAGTGTTCATAGATGCTAAAGTGTTTACAGAATTTTTGAGGTAACAGTAGTATTTGGGATTTGCTTCACTGGGGATTGGATGGAAAAGAGACAAGGTATGTGAGACACTGGCCATATTGCTGATGTTAGGTCTTGGGGCTCAGTACAGTGCCTTTCTACTTATGAACACAGTAGCAGACTACCAAAATAAAAAGTTGCAATTAGATGACAGTGAAGTGTTAGTAGATACTTAACCTCAAGACTGGTGTGGCTTAAATCTTTTTTGAAGAAAAATATAACCTTAGGAAGGCAAAGGTTTCCAGTTTCACTTGCCCATGGTCCCGAGATACTAACTGGAAAATTGTAGGACTGATTGAGGAGTTTTCAAGTGTGTGCCATCCCAGGAGTGTGGTCAACTCTCACTTACTCTAGTCCAGAGCAGGGTAGGGAATCCAAGCGCTGTGAACTACCCACCCACCTATTACTCTCATCAGCTGCCTGAGTTACCACATTAGCTACTGCAGCACTGCACTGCTTGTGTTCACGGACTCCTCAGTTCACCTAATAATGCCCCCAAAGCAACAGAGTCATTATGTTCAAGAGATATCAATACAGGGAACATAGAAGGATGTTCGGACTGTGGTACTGTGGAGATACTCTGCAGCAGAATCTAGGGGGAGCAGGCTGTGCGGGGCTCAACACTACCCAAGGTTACGGCTTGGTCTAGATGTGCCCCCAAAACCTCATGTACCCATAGGTGGGCCTTTGCACAGGTGCCTGGATCTAGGGCGTGTGATTACTAAGTGAGCCCACTATTGGTATAGCACAGCGCTATTTGTACGTGTCTCTACCCAAAAGGTGAGCAGCAAATGTGGGTTACAAGGTTTAAAAAACCAAGGAACTTTTATTCTGTAAAGTACGTGTGCAGACCTGAAAACCAGTAATTGCTCAAAAAGTAAACTAGAACATTACTGGGTTTATACTTTATTGTTTTTAAAAAGAATTGGGCCAGCCAAATAGCTCAGCGTATTAAAGTGCCTGCTTAGGCAGACGCAGGGGCTGGAAGTTTGATCCCCAAGCCTGCCATGCCAGCCTCGCCCCTGGGGCACGCTGAGACAGCGATTGAGATTGGGCGTCGTGGCACGCACCTGTAATGCCGGCACTTGGGAGGCTGTAAACAGGAGGATCACTGTGAGTCTGATCTATGTAGTGAGACCCTGTAGACCTTATAGACGCTGTCCTAAATACAAAAACAAATTTTTTTTGTTTGAAAACATGGTCTTGTAACACAGAGCTTTTATGAGTATTTCTAAGGGGTGAATGTTGCAGTGATAATATTGAAATTCAGGGTTACCAATAAGAAGTGACAGAAATACCAGGTGAGGTAATTCCTGCACTCGGGCAGCTGAGGCCCAAAGATCACAGTGAGTTGGAGGCCAGTCTGGAGTCTATAGGGAGACTGTTTCAAAAAAACACTGACGACTTTAAAACATGTGAACATATTACATTGCTACACCATGAAGTCCTACTGTAGTTAATGTAAACATTTTCTATTCTCTTACCGAGTGTTCTTGCAAGTGGTAAGTACAGTGATAATTGTCAAGCTGACTTGTCTTGCAAGGCCTTTATGACATGTCATTTTCATTTCTTTCCCAAACTCACTGATAGGCACACACCACCTCCCACCTTCGAGGGTCTCAGCGGGAAGCTTGCTGCGTGCAGGACTGACGTGGAAGTACAATGGAGCAGTACACAGCCAGTAGCAATAGCTCCACGGAGCAGATTGTCGTGCAGGCCGGACAGATCCAGCAGCAGGTACAGAGGCACAGCGGCTGTGGAGCCCAGCGAGGCACAAGCGTTGGTGGGTGTGCTTCTCTGGGGAGTCACCCGAGAGGTCTCTGCGTGTAAACCCTGAGACAGGATCTCATCCCTTGTGCCAAAGTGCTGTATTCAGCCCATGACCACTTCCAGTCTGCCCTTTGCGGGGGCCTGGTTTAATAGTGAATTGCTTCTTCTGTTTTTCATGTGGAGATTGTAATTTTTCCCCCCAGGTTCAATATGATAGGTTCTGTACTTGTTAAAGCTAAGTGGTGATTTAGTAAGTGTCCACAGGAGACAACAGTAGTCTCCATTCTCTAGAACAGCTTGAGCTCGACGCTAGGATAATATGTAGATAGCCACTATTAGTGGGTAAGCACAAATCAAGATGCAATTTTTGGGGTTTTTATCTTTTTGAGATAGGGTTTTGCTATGCAGTTCAGGCTGGTCTTGAACTCATAATGATCTGCCTCAGCCTCCCAAGTGCTGGGATTATAGGTACACGCTATCACATCTGGGCTGTATGTTCTTTAAGACTATATAGTATGTCTCCTTGTATTTATGCACAGTTTTTCTAGTGCTTTTTACCTAGATTTATTTGAGTAAAATCTCACTTTCTGTCCCACCCCTTGAAGTGAAAAAGAAGTACATTATACTTCCATTTTACTGTAGGCCAAGAGTGGTAACTTGGGAGTATTTTGTCTTCACAATGAAGCTTAAAGCCAGTCATGGTGGCATGTGCCTGTAATCCCAGCATTCAAGAGGCTAAGGCAGGAGGATTGTTTGAATTTAAGGGCAGTCTGGGTTACCCAGTGAGTTCAAGTTCAGTCTGAATTGCATAGTGAGACCCTGCCTCAAAAAAGCAAAACAGAAAGAAACAAACAAAATATAACTGAACTGTTAGGTGGGAAGGAGGAAGGCAAAGGAAGTATTGGTAGTGTGCTGTTTTGATCAGAGGAAGGAGAGACTTGATTAAAGGGGATGAATTATTTACCTTCCCTTCAGCTGCTGGGGTGGGGCGACTCCATACAGGGTCCTTCATTCAGGCCAGTGCCCTGGTGGGCAGAGCCTCCTCTGTCCTACTTCCCTTACGATATGCAGGTGAAGTTTAGTCACCCGAGACCTTGCTTCTAAGGCAGTCCAGTTGGGTAGAAATAAAACTTAGTTTGGGGACATAGAAGTAGTGGTCTCATGAAGCGGACTTTGGTTCACAGTGATTGAGTAACTCTTCATTTCTTGGAAGTTGCATTTGTACCCCAGAAATTCTTCATCATAGTGTCAAGGAGGTTAGAACTTGGTAACTTCTTATGAACTTATTTGAGAAAATAAAAAGAGCATTAAACTAATTGATAAGCAGAAGAGTAAAAAGTCCTATTTCTGGTGAGAAGGACTACATTACTACTTTTGGGGGGGGGAGGCTGGCTCAGGCTGCCTTAAGGGCAGGTCTGGTAATGCAGGTGGAGGTGGGGATCAAACCACAGTTTCCTACACCTGACTGTATTTGCATGAGCAGGCGCTTAAACAGCTAAGCTAAAGGGCAGGCTCCACCCCCCCTACCCCCCCCCCCCATTATAAATTTTTTGTTGATGTTATTTTGACCTGTTGGAGTTGTGGAAGTAGGTTTTGAGGTCAGCTGTAAGGGGAGAGAGAGGGCTAATGTCTTCCATCTGCTGCACAAGAGTGTAGGAAGTCTGTACAGTTTGGCCATCCCAGGTAAGGGGAGGCTTAGGAAGGAAGACTTCCTGCCCCTCCCCCAGAGGTAAGGCGCTCTCATGTCTCAGACTGTACATTTTTTCCTGACATATTTCAAGCTCTTCCTGTTCCTGTTCTCAGCAGCAGGGTGGTGTCACTGCTGTCCAGTTGCAGACTGAGGCCCAGGTGGCATCCGCCTCAGGCCAGCAAGTCCAGACCCTCCAGGTAGTGGTGCCCTCTCTGATTCTCTGTGAGCACTGCATGGGCCTGTCCTTGTATCTGGTGCTGTCTGTGTGAGGGTCTCAAGTAGGCGTGCCAGAGTCAGTCGCATGTGTTTGATGCTGCTAACTTGTCCTTGAGGCTTTTACCATAAGGTGCCAGTTTCCTAATGTTCACGTTTTCTGAAAACTATTGGCTAGTGTGTTGGGGGAGGGGGTCCTGGAAAAGATACAAAAGTCTTAGGAAGAAATTCTCACAAGTGACATTGGAACTTCTTCTGTGCTCAGACTCCGTGATCTGATCACACAGTAAAATTTCCTGAATTTGTATGTCCTCCGTTGGAAGAGAAGACACAAACGAGGCTGGGCTGCCCTTTATTTTTTTATTGAAAGGGCAACTTGACTTGCAAAGTAGCCATTCCATTTGGCAAGGTTTATCTAAGCACTAAATCTCGTCAGTCTCCTGTTAACCCAGCTTGTTTTTACTATCCTGTGGGGAACGGGTCACCTGTCTTATTATTAGCTGTCCAGAGATTGTCCTGTATACCCTTTGGTTGGGGAGAAGTGGAATCTTCTTTCACCACTTAGATGTTATAGCCACTGACAGAATTCTTATGGCTTGCTTGGTTGTGTTAGCTATTAAAAGAAACAAAAAATCTTTTTAAAGAACTCTTACCCAGGGCAGTTAGTTAACACTAGGTATGGCCAGAACAAATACCTTATGTTGTGCTATGATGTAGCTGGTTTCTATTTTAAAATAATAGGCGCACGAGTCTGCTGTGTCTAGATTAGTTTGACTGAAATGACCATATTTTTGTGAAGTTGGCAAGTTACAGAGGTTCTAGCTTTTTCCTCCATCCAACTGAAAGTGATTTAGAGCGTGACTGAGAAGGTAAAACTGGCATCTCTCTTTATTGTTCGTGCTACGCAGCATCCCGCAGTTAACTACCCCTTACTGTGATCGGTTCGCTTCACCCTGTGAACCCTACCGCCAGCAATGCTTGGTAATGATTGCAGCCAGTTCCTGACATACACCAGGCTGAAGAAGCTGCGTTGTAGGTGCTCCCTATCTGTACAGGAATCCTAAGAGTTCAGCAGCTTGTCTGTGTTGTTCATGCTTGCTTCATCTTATTAATATATAAAACAGTATCTTGGGTTGTCATTAACCACTTCAGAATAGGAATGTAACATGCTTTTAACTGTATGGCTTTTGTCTGGTGCATGTGTTCTGTGAACGCTGGTATGTTGTGAACACTGGGCTATTGAAATCATTTACCACATGCATGCGTAGCATGTTTATGGGGGAGGAAGTTAAGATGGTGGATAGCTAAAAAACTATTAAGAGTGTTTCAAAACTTCTGTTAACTACTTAGATTCTATTTAAAAGAGTGGAAACCTTTCTCTGGAGTATCTTGGTGCTTTTGGAGAATTTTCACTATTCATGTGCTAAGCCTGCTCATAAATCTGTCCTGAAACAGCATATGTAAGCATCAGTGTAACAAGGAGAATTCGAATGTGAGGGAATGAGAAAGTATGAGAGAAGCAAGCTCCAGCATCCTTAAAAGTGAAGTGGAGTTTCACAAGGGACCGTTTAACAAAACCTGGACTTTTCAGCCATACAGTTCTGATGGAGTGGTGATAGGTGGCCTTTACAGTATACACTATTCATCTACTACAGGCTTATCTTTGAATCCATTATTTTTGAAGCATGCTGTTACAGGAATTAAGGGTGAATAATTTAGGTATGAATGTTTGTGTTCTGTACAATAATTCCTCAAAGGTAGAATATGAAAATGAAAGCTTAGAACTTGTAGCTCTTCTGTTGTTGGTCATTGTTGTTCACATCTAAAGTGGCTTGGGGCTGGTGAGATGGCTCAGTGGTCTAAAGCACCTACTTAGAACAAGCTTAGCAAAGCAAGAGACCGCGGTTCAATCCCCCAGCACCACATGCCAGCCAGCCCCGCCCCCTGGTGGGCTGAGCTGGCCACACACACACACACACACACACACACACAAATAAATAAATAAATAAAATAAATAAATAAATAAAATAAATAAATAAATAAATAAAAATAAAGTGGCTTGGTCACCAGGCAATGTGGTGCACTCCAGCAATCCCAACACTCAGAAGGCTGAAGCAGGAGGATCGCTGTAAGTTAGAAATCAGCCTGCACTACAAAGAGAATTTGAGGCCAGTCTGAACTCCATAATGAAATCCTGTCTCAAAAAGACCAAAAAATAGGGCTGGTGAGATGGCCCAGTGGTCTAAAGTGCCTGCTTAGGCAAGCACAAGGACCACAGTTCAATCCCTGGCACCCCATGCCACACCAGTCCTGTCCCCAGGGTGGGCTGAGCTGGCCACAAAAAAAAGAAATTTGATGGAGCAGTGACTGCTACTTCGTGGAGTAGTCAGTGTACTCACAGGAGCTTAAAGTTGTGGATGCCGTTGCCATGCCAGACGGCTCTGTCTGATTTCACTATTTGTCACTGCTTCTGTTTAAGCTAAAATAATTTCACATGCTGTAAGTTCCAGGGTGAACTACCCAGCAGAGATTGCACACAGACCAGTTTTAGCCCTGGGCCCGTAAGCGACAGACATTCCTAGGTCCTCTGAGTGAGGCGAGAGCGTCACAGGTATGCATAGCACCTGGTGGCTGCGGGAGCAAGGGCTCCTAATCCTGCAGTGTTCCTGCTGCCCAGCTTCCTCGGGTTGAGCTCCGTGCTCTGGTTTACTTCCCTCGGGCTATCTGTGATAATGCTTTAACCACCATCACCATCATCTCTCTTCGCTGCCTACTCCACCTGGCCGGTATCTTCGATGTATTTATTAAATGTCTGTCATGGATATGGCCTTTGGTGATAAGTGCCTCACATCTGACTAGATGCTTCCTGTGGACTACGTATGCTCCACTGCATCTCACCTTAAGTATTCAATCTGATGCTTAGAGGTGTCAGAGCTACAGAAGGCAGTAACTTGAGGACCAGCGCCTCACTTTCTTAGTGTTTCTCCTGCCCACCTGCCACCCCTCAGCAAGACAGCAAAATAGTTCCGATACATGTCTTTTGGTAAAAGCCGTATTGTGTCTTTTGTTGTTTCATTGTTTTATTTTCCCTCATTCTAGGTCCAAGGGCAACCCTTAATGGTACAAGTCAGTGGAGGCCAGTTAATCACCTCCACTGGCCAGCCCATCATGGTCCAGGCTGTCCCCGGAGGACAGGGTCAAACCATCATGCAGGTGCCTGTATCCGGGACACAGAGTCTGCAGCAG